AAACAATTTTGTTATATAATAGTAACAATATGTTTCTTTATAATTCATCAAATGTATCTGGTCTAGAAATATTTATGAGTATAAGCAGTATTTCAAAATATCTGTAACTTTAATGCAACATGAAAGTATTGTGGTGTTTAATGACCAAGTCACAGGTATTATTAGTACTGCTGTGGTTTGTGGTTTGTAGGCACACATGTAATTGAAGAAAATGATAGAGGTTATTGAACAGTTAACAGAAATAAAAACATCTGGTCTTAGGTCCCCAAATCAAAAATCCCTGTGCAAGCATTGTCAAGGAGACCACACCAACCCTGCCAACTCCACTCAGAAGTTATACTTGAGACTCTTCAGTGAACTGGTAGTTGAACATGGCCCTGTCAGGGACCTGTAGAAGAGCTGGCCTTTTGGTTCTTGAAGGGGAGCAGGGTAGTGGAAGGATATGGGAGCGTGACATGGAACCCAAAAGACATGAATGAAAAAATAGTAGGTTAGATGACAGAAAAATGTAGGGCATATTGTGAAAGCCTAGTAAGTGAGGTTTAAAAACATAGGACATGGCCCAGAGAGATGATCTCAATATGTAGCCCTGGCTGGCATGGAACTTACTATATAGACCAGCCTGGCCTTAACTTACAGAGATCTGCCTGCCTCTGCCTCCCAAGTACTGGGATTAAAGGCATGCACCACTATCAACCCCAGTTTAAATACTTACCATTAAACCCATAGATGAGTACAGCTCTTACTTTTATCAGAAATTTCTATATGCAGTGGATAGCAGTTAATCTAAAGACTCAAAACTGGTCAAAGTAGACAGGTATGGTGGCACATACCTTTAGTCCCAGCAGAGGCAGGTGGATCTCTGTGAGTTCAAGGGCAGCCTGGTCTACATAGTGAGTTCCAGGACAGCTGGGGCTACAAGGAGAACTTGTTTCAAAAAACAAAAACAAAAAAAAAAACTCATAAAAGTACAGAGAATAGCCAGGCATGGTGGTGCACACCTTTAATCCCAGCACTCAGGAGGCAGAGGCAGGCAGATCTCTGAGTTCAAGGCCAGCCTGGTCTATATAGTGAGTTCCAGGACAGCTGGGGCTACAGGGAAACCCTGTCTCAAAAAAAAAAAAAAAAAAAAAAAAAGTACAGAGAAAAAGTGACTGTGGAGTGTTCATCACTAAAGGGCCATTTATATCACAACCCCTCACCCCCAAGGCTCAGGGAACATTGCAAAAGAGAGGATGAAAAGATTGTAAGTGCCAGAAGTCAGCAAAGCATGCTGTGAAATAATGTCTTCTAGACGAGACAGAGACGCTACACTCATGAACTCATAGCAGCTGTGCTGTGAGTCTAAGAACAACCTAGTTAACATCCGAGCATGGAGAAGGGGCTCATGAGGCCCCACCCGGGGCTGAGGAGAGATAGGCAGCTGTGAGCTGCTGGGGTAGTCAGTTTTCTTCTGTGGTATGGTCTGGGCATGTTGCCCATGCTCCAGTGGTGGTGCCCTACAGCCACACAGGCAACTAATTGGACTAGGTGGGTTATAAAAGAAGTTCAGAGTGGGATGGGGGGGTCCAAGAGGAGTTGGGAGGCAGTAAGGGTGGATGTGATCTAAATACATTGCATTTCTGTATGAAATTACTAAAGAATAAATAAATAATTTAAATAGCAAAACAAAAGAACAATCTGAAAAAAATTCAATATAGTATCAAAATATTATTGTTCTTAACCTACAGAATGATCAATAAAAATAGGAAAAAAAGAAAAACAACTCAACGTAAAAAATGGTCAAAAGATAGTATATACCTCATAGAATAAGAAAATGCATGTTGCCAGTTAAACATACGTAACAATCAACAGCACCAAAATGAACGGGAGGATTGCATCAATCAGTTCTCAGAGCCCCACGAACAATGCTTTAAATTTATTCTTTTTTAATCACACAAATAGTATTTATTACATAGTGTATTATTAACTTATTTTCCACATTTACTAGTCAAGAACTGACTTTATTGCAAAGCAAAGGACTCTGTGAACATCAATTTATCATCATTGTCAAAATAAATTCATATAAGTACAACCCAGCATAAACACAAATGGCATTCGTGTTGACCTATTTGGTCTCATTAGAACAGTTGGCATGCATGTTTCTGCTCCTTCCCAAGAGGGCTGACCACAAGGATGATCATCTCTAGGGAGCTGAAAAACAGCAGGAGTTTGTTAGGGTTCCAAACAGCAGCAGCTCCCCGCCTCCCCAACAGGGTCCTACAGACTTTGGAGCCTGGAAAAGGGAACTTAGCTGATAAGCACCTTGACCTTTGAGGTCAAGAAGAACAAACTCTGCTGAGAAGCAGCCTGCCTTTCCTCTGACCTCCAAAGATAAGATAAGCAAATTTCCTCTTATCTTAAGAGGGAAAAAGTAAACACTTCCAGACCCTAATCCTACCTGCTTCCCCCTCCCTGATTTCTCCCCCAAACATTCCCCCCTTCCACACCCTAAAGCCCCCATATATAAAGTCCCAGCTCACAACACGTGGGCGGACATCTTTCCCTGACATCTTTCCCTTCGCTGAGGGAAAGGTGCCCCGTGGGAAATAAATCTGTATCCCGCTAAGAATTCCATCTGTGCCTCGGTGCCTCATCCATCCGCTCGCGTTCTCCACCACCCGCTCCCTCTCTCCAACATTCCTACCTATCAGAGTTCAGTGACACAGCCAGGAAGGCATCATCATATGGGAGAGGGACACACAGCCTGACTGGAGTCAGCTGTCTAAGAGTCCAGTAATAAGGGAATAAATAAACCTGAAGCAGGACATGGGGAGAAGAGTGCTTTTTGTACATTTATGTGTTATTCAGAGTGGGGAGGGGTCAGAGGACAACTTTGCAGAACTTCTTTCCCCACCATGTGGGTTCCAGGGATCAAGGTCATCAAGGCTTGGCAACAAGTGCCTTTAACCCAGTGAGCCATCTCCCCAGCACTTGTGACCTTGTGAGGAGGGGAGGAGGAGGGGGAGGAGGGGGGGGGAGGAGGAGGAGGAGGAAGAGGAGTTGTTGCTTTTAGACAAAGGCTCCCTGTAGCCCCGCCTGGTCTGGAACTCACTGTATAGACCTGGCTAGCCCTCATAGAGATCCACATGCTTCCGCCTTCCAAGTGCTAGGATTAAAGGCGTACACCACAATGCCTGGTTTTGTATTTTGTTTTGGTTTGGTTTTTGGTCTTTTTAAGAAGGGGTCTCCCTGTAGCCCCAACTGGCCTGGCACCTGTTAGGTAGACCAGGCTGGCCTTGAACTCTCCAGGGATCCACCTGCCTCTGCCTCCTGAGTACTAGGATTAAGGGCATGCAGCACACCTGGCATTGTGAGTAGTAGACTATCAGAGTCGTGATTCTTTCAGGGGACAGATTTAAGAATTAAAGGCAATAGTTGGATGTAGTATAGTAAGACTACACTACAAATTTTGAATTTGAAAAAAAAAAAAAAAAAAAAAAAAAAAAAAAAAAAAAAAAAAAAAAAAAAAAAAAAAAAGTTTTCCCATAAAGCTAAGAACCAAAAGGAAGGTTCTAGAAAACACTGGTGGATAAATACTTACAGAAAAAATAATAATAATTTTCACCTCTCCTGAAAACAGGAGGTAAATTTATTTTTATTTTTATCTTAATAGAAAAATTTTAAAAGGACATGAACTTACAGTGGACAACATGATGCATAGATGGAGGAAGTAAATTTTTATTTGAATCTAAGGGGCGGGCAACAGTTTTAAACAGTTCGTGTTCATCATTTACTCTTAAGCAGCAGATGGGGTAATGTGTGCTTTGGAAAGGGGCAGTGGAGGGAGTGCAGGCTAGGAGGGAGGAGACTGTCCAGAGGACAGGTGGTCACTGATTAGGATGTAAGTGCTGGGAACCTGTTTGATCCAGCTGTATCTTTGGCCACTAAATCAGTGCTTAGTAACCAGAAAGATTAATTAATATCTATCCACTGACTGGATTAATGAACATTACTGTGGTTTGTATATGGTTCTAGGTGCTGTAAGCTGAGTCTCCGGGGCAATGTTGAGAGGTAGTGGAACCTTTGAGAAGTATGGCCTAGTGAAATGCAGTTAGGTCATTGGAGGGTTCCATCATCAAAGGAGATTCGTGTACTTCTGAGGGAATTCCACTTAGTTCCTATTAAAAAAGGAAGCGTTGAGCTGGCTATGGTATGATTGAGAGTTTGATGCCACCTTGGGCTACACAGTAAACCTTCCCTCCAACCCTTCCCCTCACAATAAAAAGAGAGGAAGCCTGGCCCCTGAGCCTCTCTGGCTTCCCCTCTCACCATATAAACTCTTCCATATGCGTCCTGTCATTATGTCATACCCCATGAGAGCCTCAGCAGAGGCCAAACAGATGGAACTGTCTGATCTTCAACTTTCAGTCTCAAAAACTATGAGCTAAATAAATCTCTTTCTTTATAATTCTCCAGTTCCAGTATTTTGTCACAATGACAGAAAATGGACTAATACAAATGTCAAAATCAGGACTTGAAATCAGGTCACTTTCACTCTAATAGATTCCACAATTAATCTTAGAGTATTAAGTCAAACACAAACAGAACTATTAGTAGTCTATCCCAGGCTCCCTTGCAGCTACATTCTGGCCAGGGAGATACAAGGATAACCGGTGCTTGGACTTACATACTACTTGCAAGAAAGTCTACGAAATAGAGCATGCCTTTCCTCCTCCTGTCATCCTGTTACGGCCTTATGTGGCATGGACTACAACACTGGGACAAGAAGCTGAAAGAGTCAAGCTTGGGCTCCAGAAGACCACTGTGACCATACTGTCCTGAGTCATCTGCCTTCAGATTTCTGTTCTATGAAGGAGAAATAAACTTCTCTTTTATAGCCACTGTTCCTTAGAAGTGTTAGACAGAGGAAGCTAATCCTGAGATGTGGGTTTGCTCCTAGCCCCTAGAGACAGTGGCAGACCAGGAAGCATCCAGTTTTCCACAGCAGTGGTAACCTTCTACCTGTTACCTGGACCTAGCCACCTGGTGCCTTCTGCACCTTGAATCAGGTCGCTGTAAGTCCTAGGACAGTGCTTACGATAGAGATTTTCCACCAGGGTGTTGCTTCCTCTAACCACAGTCTTCCCCTCTCTATTCATGTAGTTCCACAAATGCAGTGCATAAGAGTCATTGAAGGTTGGCTCTGTGCCCCACACTTGGTAGTAATGCCTCCACTGTCGGTAGGGAATGGGGTAAAATCTCTGGGGATGCAGGAAGGAAATATTCTGACACTTCAAGTCACTCAGCTCTTGGAAGTCTCCAAGTTTGCACCACACCCTTAACACCCTCGTCATCAAATTGGGACCTTGGTTACCCCAAATGCCTGAGTTATAGTGCTCAACAAAGTTTTCCATGCAGGCCCACAGGAAGGGGTTGCGGGGGAGGAACCCAAATACCCCATTACTGGAGTGACGGGAAGCCTGAGCAGCCAAAAAGTTCTCTTCCGGGATGGGCCTGATGGAGATGACGTCAGTGTCCATATAAATGCCTCCGTATTTCCAGATGATGGCCAGGCGGGCTGCATCGGAGCTGACATGGAGCCAATAATGCTCCTTATTGCTGTTGACCTGTAGGAGCAGAAGCCAATGAGCCCAAGCAGTAGGGGTGGCCAGGAAGGAGTACAAGGGGGTAGATACCCCAAAAGCTGTTTGACCACAAGCATAACTGTAAATTTTCCAAATTGACCTCCACATCCCCCCAAACTTCACTTGAAGTAGAGAGTTTGGAGCAATTAGTAGTAATGCAAAACTTTGGGCAGCTTTTGAATATTTCACAAAATTGATTTTTTAATTAAAGCAATGGAAGGGTAAAGAAGAAATGTGGCAGAAACTACAGGATGAGTTGTTCTTCCATGTGAGTGCACATTAGCCACAATGTGAAACTGCAAAGGAAGAATTTAAGTCCTTACAATGCTAAAGATTGATAAAGAAAAAATAAGCTAGGAAAGTAAATAGCAAATCAGTGTGCGAGCCGGGAAACTGGTAAAAGGTATGCATGCATACTTTTGTTGGCTTGTGAATTCCTTTAATAATGTTCACTGAAGACCTACTTATTATGTGCCACTCATTGCTAAGGTTGATGAAAGCACAACCGTGAACAAACAGGCAAAAAATCCGTACTGGGAGGAGATCAATGATAAACAGATAAGGGCTATGAAGGAGATAAAAGCGGGTAGGGAGGGGACTGTAAAGAAGTGAGATCATGCACATGAGTTTTCAGCAGAAACAAGTGAAGTGCATGGAGGAACCATGGCAATACCCAGTAAAACATTCGCGGGAGGCGGGGGGGTGTCAGTAAGTGCAAGGGCCCTGTGGCAGCAGCACATGGGCTGTGCAGTTCAGACAACAGAGACAAGAGGGGGCAGATGATGAGAACAGAGAAGGGCAGGACTGGGGAAAGGGGTCAGCTCATGTAGCCTGGGGTCGACTTGGAAATTTGCAAGGTTGAAAGGAAAGGGATGATATAATCTGAATCTCTTTTCAAAGGGTCACCTTGGAAGCTGTGTGAAGAAGGATCTGGGGGAGGAGGTGGAAGTGCAAAGGCGGTTAGGAGCTTGTTAAGATAAACCAGGCTTGGACCAGAGTGATAACCTGGTATGAGTGAGAAGGGGTTGGATTCTGGATCCATGTTCCAGATAAATCTGGTCAGACTTTGCGGATGGAGTAGATGGATGGGAAAGAGTGACTGCAAATGCTAAAATGTAAGCAACACAGAAAAAGAACTAAAAGGAAAAGAAATCAGTATAAAGCATAGAATTCCATTAAAAGGATAAAATTTTGAATACAAAAAGACAAATATATTTTCCCAAATTTAAATATGTTGATTAAAAGATTAAATGAAACTGGGCGTGGTGGCACACATCTTTAATCCCAGAATTCTGTGAGATCAAGACAAACCTTAGATGGTCTACATGGCAAGTTCCAGGCCAGCTGGGGCTACATAGTGAGACCCCATCTCATAAAACCTAATTAATAATAATAATAATATGAAAAGATTAAGCAAGGACCTTTTGCTTTTGACAAAATATTGAATTGTTAAAATTCTGCTATGAAGAATGAAAGCAGGCTAGAGAGATGGCTCAGCAGTTAAGAACACTGGCTGTTCTTCCAGGGGAACCAGGTTCGAATCCCAGCACCCACATGGCAGCTAACAACCATCCATAACTCCAGTTCTAGGGGCCTTGACACCATCTTCTGGCATTCATAGGCACTGCACGACATGGTTGCACTAAAATACATGCAGGCAAAACACTCATACACATAAAATAAAAAAAGAATGAAAGGCCAACTAAAACTTTGTAGAAATTTTCACAAGCTGTTAAAAAACACCCCATTGTTTACAATTCCAGAAACCTCACAAACAGTAACAGCTAGTATACATCAATAATTGTTCGGAGCTTTTGGCAATTCATACAAATCCTCGAAGATGGGGTCCATGACCAGTCTACCTGTCAAGGAGGAAATTGGAAGAACCAGAACACTCTCCCTCTATCTCCAAGGGAGACACAGATTGGATTTGAATCTGAGCAGTCTGGCTTCAGATATCCACTCATTCAAAAGAAATAAAGTTTTAGGTAAAAAAAATAAATGTGAGTACTTGGCAACTGTGGCAATTATTACTGAACAAAGATGCGAGGGACATCAAATGCCTCCAAGAAGCAGAAGAGAAACTCTGCCTAGATGTTAGATTAACATCAACCTGAGACCCAGGCGCTCCATCAGGGGTGAATGGCAGAAAGAGGACTGAAGACAATTGCCCATGCTCGCCCTGCTGATCCCTGGGCATCTTCAGAGCTACAGTTGCCCATAAGGTTCATGCAGCAAACACAGTGGTCAATAGCAAATGGTGGTACAATCAATGCTCCCTAACAGGTAACCCAGTCTGTCTACTATGGAGGCTTAACTGGAACAGAACAGCCCATGGCCCAGCCTCCCAAGGGTATCATGGTAGGAACACTGTATGTATACACTCTAGCATAGAGCCCTCGGGCTCAGACGGAAGTCACTTAAGGACTCTGAATCTCAGGGCCCACTTTGCTCCTAAAATCTAACACATAAAATTTAGGTCCATCTTAGCACAACCCAAGCTTTGCTCCAAGGGACATTAGTTCCAAGAGATTATATAACTATTATACAGAAAGAGGGTTCTATGCTCAAATTAGTTTACGAAGTGATAGGTTGAATCAGGTTTTGATTTGGGTGTTTGTCTGTTTGTTTTTGTCTTTTTTGAGACAGGGTCTCCCTGCAGTCCCAGCTGGCCTGGAACTCACTAAGTAGACCAGGCTGGCCTCCTGAGTGCTAGGATTAAAGGCATGTGCCACCACGCTGGGCCCAGCCTTTGATTTTTGAATTGAATAAAGTTTCCTTAGTTCAGAACCTTAATGATGTGTTAATAATCTTGTGTGCACAATTCATGTGTGAGAAAAAGGTGTAGTATGCAGCATCTCCCAAAATAATATGATTTGATATTTCTTTTTCCAAAGAACCAAGTAAAGTTTAGGTAAGAATAATCTAGCTCGAGTTTGAGAAAACTTGTGCCATCCTAGAGCACCCTCCATCAGACTAGCACTTAGAGCCATGAGGACCAAGATGACTGTTCCCTCCACTCCTGGCACCCACATACTCTGCTGTTCCCACAGCAGTGAGATCTATGTGCCAGGAACCCTGTTGCTGGCAACTGTCAGGACTGGCAGGTAGACATTTAATCCATTTTAACTGCTCCACCTCCTTCTGCCCAGTCCCATTTGACATTTCAGAACTTTTCAGAACAGATGGGACTTTGGGATCTAGAAGTTACTGAAGCCAAAAGTGAAACTGGCCCCAGTCACTGATTTCAGCCCCAGTCCCTACCTACCTCACCTACAGCTAGATCCCTTCCCCTCAGCTGTTCAGCTTAGTCTGAAAAATATCTCCAGTTGATAGCAACTAGATTCAAACATGGCCACCACACGTGTGACAGCCCAACCAGAGCGTGGCTGAGGCAGGACAGGGCAGGAGTTTTCTCTTTCTGTGCATACACTGTAGTAGGCTAAGTAATGACCACCCAAGATATCAGGCCCTAATTCCTGAACCTATAAAGATGAGAAAAGAACCCTTGCAGATGAGAGGATATTGAGATGGGGAGATGATCTTGGATGATCCTGATGAGTCATCTAAAAATCTCAAATGTCATTTAAAGAATGGAATCGAGGGAGATTTTACACTCACAGGTAAAGGGGATCTGAAGGAGCAAGTGGGGCGCTGGGCCTCAGCCACCAGAAGCTGGCCAGAGACAAGAATGGTCCTACCCTACAGTACTGCTGGGACTGTGGCCTGCCTGACACTTTGAGAGCAGTCACTAAAACTGGATTCTGATTTCTGGCCTCCAAAACAGCAAGAGTAATACCTGTTGCTGTAAGTCACCAAGTCTGTGGTCATTTGTTACAGATCACTGGAAACTAACATAGCAGCAAACTCAATACCCTCACCGTTGCTACTTAGCTCACAAAGCCTAAAATATTTGCTAATATTTGGCCTAGGACAGGTGGAAATTTAGATAGAACTTTTTGTAGTAAGCAAATATTGTGATATCAACTTTTAAGTTATTCTGTTGTTTTTAAAATAATTTTATTTATAAAATTAACAGTTTAAAATTCGCTTCTTTTTTAAGATTTTAAAAAAATATTCTACAGCCGGGCATGGTGGCACACGCCTTTAATCCCAGCACTCGGGAGGCAGAGGCAGGTAGATCTCTGTGAGTTCAAGGCCAGCATGGTCTACATAGAGAGTTGCAGGACAACTGGGGCTACAGGGAGACCCTGTCTCAAAAAGACCAAAAATATATATATTCTATTTTTTTATTTTATTTTATATGTATGAATGTATTGTCTGCATATATGTAAATGCACCTGTGTCATGTAGTGTCCACAGAGGTCAAAAGAGGACATCAGATCCCCTGGAACTGGAGTTAGGACAGTTGTTAGCCACCATGTGGGTGCTGGGAATGAAACCCAGGTCCTCTGCAAGAGCAGTCAGTGCTCTGAAGCACTGAACCATCTCTCTGGCCCCATTGAGATTTACTCATTTTTTAACGTGTGTGAGTGTTTTGCCTACATTGAATATATGTGCACCACATGCATGCCGGGTGCACTTGAAGGGCAGAAGAGGGCATCGGAGCCCTAGAACTGGAATAATGGACAGGTGTGAGTCACCATGTGGGTGCTAGTAATGGAACCTGGACCCTCTGGAAGATTGGTAACCACTGAGCCATCTCTCTCCTATCCCCCCAAATTCACTTCTAATTTAATCATATTCAAACACCTATTATAAGTGTATAGTTTCTTTAATTTGCTTTGTGGTTGTTTGGTTATTTTGTTTCTGGGGGAGTTTATTTTGTTTTTTGGTTTTGGAATTTTTGTTATTGTTGCTGCTGTTGTTGAGACAATCTCAAGTGACCCAGGCTGGCCTCTAATTTTCTATGTAGCCCAGGATGACTTTAAACTCCTGATCTTCCTACCTCTACCTCCTGAGTACTGGAGTTACAGATGTGTAACCACAGAGGCTTCTGCAGATATTTTTTTAATCCCCAATAGATGCTGGAGGTGGCCCATAGCTGAAATCATTATAATTACATTCTAATGTGAAGGAGGCTTTCATTTCATGTTGTGTTAGAGTTTCCATAAGATGTCAGTTTAAAGCTCAGTTAAACCCTGCCTAGTAGAATCCTGGAGTAGATGCACTATCACTCCACTAAGCACTGTGTGACTGTGACTCCTCCAGAAAACTGACAGTACATTGAAACATCGTTTCCTTATTATGCTATGCTGCCAAGAGGAGGGTTATAGGAGGCCTAAGGGTTCCAGGGCTTTCTCTATCATCTCTTGCTGCAACCCAACCTCATAGAGCAGCATGCCACTGATCCTTCCTGAATTTTCTACTCACATTGCTTTCATTTTAAGTACTGCCTGGTTTCTGCCTCTGGTGAAGAAGATGTTTAATGTAGATAGATGAGTTTAAAACTATAATGAAAAATAAGCGTTCCATATGCCTAGAAAAGATAAAAAAAATCATTCAGTTAAGAATAGTTTCCAAAGTAACCAAGAGCCTCAAAGAAACAAGCCCTGAAGCTAACAACAGCAGCCTAGCCATGTGCCTAACTGAATGTCTCCAGTCTACCTGAGTCAGAATCCCACAGGGTGGCAGAGGGCAAACAGGAGTCCAAGAGTCCAAGTACTAGCCCCATCTCTTTCCTATGCCCTTGCCCTCGGTTTACCCATCTATAGTGACTATGTTGAACTCATTTTCTGAAGGTGCTGTTAGTCTCTCCCAACACTGACTTTGTCAATTATTTTGAACACTTACTTTGGTGTACCATGAAAATAAGGGTGTGTCTTCAAATAGTCTTTTCATATCCAAAGGGGCGAAGAACACATTTTCAATGTCTGAGAGAAGGGAGAAGGCTGGGTGGCTGGAGTTTGGAGCCACCTGAGTGGCATTACTGAGCCCTTTCATAAAGAAGATGATAGGCTTCTCAGGGTAGATTTTGGCAGCAGACTCCACAGCACAGGAGACCAGTGGGGGTGGCTCCATTCTCTCAGAGGTCTCTATGAACACAATGCTGTGTCCGTTGCTCAGAAGGCCTTCTAGCCCCTTTGGGGACTTGAAGAGAGGCAGGCAAGAAAAGAAGCAGTGAGACCTCACGGTGAGCCGGTAGAGGAAGCCACAGGCAAGCACCAGGACCAGTGACACGGAGAGGTGAAGCTCCTTCAGCATGTCCTCCCTTTCTCCCAGCCTCTCCTTGAAGAAACACAGTTCGTCAAAATTCACCCTCACAATCCTGATGGAGACAGCATACAAGAAAATATATAAAAGGATCACTTATTAACTTAGACGAAAGAGGTCCTGAGTCAAATCAAATCAAGCCTAGAAATATTAAAAGAAAAATTGATCACAATCAGATTTATATAGGAAGGCACTTAACTCTTTAATAGAAAAACTGTTCATGAATGTATTATCTTAACAGAGTAAAAGGAAAGCAATCATCTGATTCTTCTGACTCAATAGCTGCCAAGAACGTGAGAAAATTTGACATCCATTCATGATTTTTAGAAAGTGCAAGAAAACTTTTTTTAATCTGATACACGCTCTCTACTAGAATACCACATAAAGGCAACAATATACAGCAATCATCATACTTTGGATGACACATCCAAAATACTCCAATAAAGTTTGAATAAGATACTCTTGCTATTCAACAGACACTTTTGTTTTTCAGTACCACTCTAATAATTCTAACCAATGCAATGTAACAAAAGGAAAAGATCCCTACTAGAGATGTTAGAAGAGACAAAAGTACCACCAGTTTTAGAAAATATGACTGCAGACCTAGAACATTAAATATAATTAAAGACTAACAGAATTCAGGAGAAAATTAACCAAGGAACTAAACTAAAGGTTAGAGAGTCGTCATGATAGTTTGAAAGTAGTGGAACTGTGATTCCAACCTGGGTCTACCTACCACAAGAGTCCAGGCTTCAGATGTCACCACAACACCTCCCTCCTCATAGAGGGTAGCTTGAACTCAGACTGGCTCCAGGAGAGCAGAAATCCCAATTCCTAGAAGGTATGTTTTCCGTGTTCCATGTAATTCGTTCAAAAAACATAAACCCAGTAAAACAGAGCTTATATTCTAGCCAGAAACTTGTAGTTCCCAGGTATTTGAGGTCTTACAAAAGAGGACAAGTTTTCCCTGTATACATTCTGATAAATCACCACCCAATCTTCCAATTCGACAACACAGGAGAAAGTAAATCATTGGCAGAAGATTAAGACTAAGCACAAGAAGTTTCCAGGAAACTCCTCCCCTTACTAAGCTCTCCCCAAAAGTAGACATCAGGAGATGGTAGGAGTTCATGGGTTTTTCAGATGACCCCGACACTGAGTGGGCCTGTATGGGGTCTACTATGGGGGGGGGGGTCCCAGAGGATCATCTCAAATGGAGGAAACCATATCGTTCATAGCACAACACTAAAGCCAACAGTTCCTGCACCAGCGCAGTTTAACATGACTCAAACTCGTGGGCAGAGACTTGCGGAAGTTTCTTCACTGGACAGTCCTGTAAGTTGATTCAAATTCTTCCTTTGCAACATGACATTTGATAAAAAAGTAAAGAAAGACCTTTTGCACAATCAAGCAATACAAACCCCAGCAGTCCAAAGTCCCGGTAAGCTATAATGAGAATGGATCTCCAGTGTCAGCTACAGTGGCTACAGAAGGGGTCTCTTTGCCCTGATATCACCCTTGTAGGGTAGGAGCCTCCTACTCTCACAAAGTCAGTTTGATCACCCTCAATGAATGTGCCATCTCTCAAGGCATTTTCACTCTCCTGTGGCCTAGTTCCCATTGTTTCCGACATGAGCTTTTAATGATCTTTGAAACTCTCCTCTGCCCTCAGTCCAGAGCTTTCTCTCAGCCCACAGTTCTCCTTCAGTGTTGTAGAGTGATCAGGGAGAGACTCTCCTAAATAGCCTGGATGCAGACACAAGAGATCCTATGTTAAGGAAACTGAAGCTTTCCCATTTGTTGATGGCTCTGGTTTTCTCTGTGTCTGAGGAGCCCCAGAAATATCTCTTGGGTGTCCACATGCTGTTCTTTCTAGGAGCTGGATTTCTTCTATGCACCTGATCATTTCTGGGCTTAAGGCACTCTGGTGTCTTTCCAAAGATCTTGGCACAAATAGATTGGTTGCTCTTTCCTATAAAGGGGGTAGGGGGAGTGTTCCTGCTCCCTGTTTGAGAGTAACTAGAGAGCTGTTTGTGAGAGTGATGAGTTCCTTGTGCCTACGTCTCAGGTAGGTTCAGATGGTCGTACAACAGCCCAGAACACTGAGCTGGTGGTCAAGGCAGAAAGCAGTGAAGTAGTCAGTGAGCCTTGTCAAGCAATGATGGATGGAAGCACGAGCGATGCAGTGAAATCCTTAGTACCACAAATAGGACCTGTTGACCAAGGACAAGGAAGAGTGGAGCCTCCTTCTGTCACAGGCTGAGGGCACCAGCACAAGTCTCCACTCTCTTCAGAAGTGTAGAAAATAATGTACCTCAGGCCCAGTGTGGAGATAAAATGACTCTATACCAAAAAGAAGCAACTTTCACTTTCCACTGAGGAAAAAAGGAAAGGCGATATTAATGTAGATGGAACCAGGCAGTGCAGTGTACACCTGTAATCTTAGCACTTGAATGGTGGAGGCAGGAGGATTAAGAGTTCAGTTATTCTCAGGGCTGGAGAGATGACTAAGTGGTTAAGAGCACCGGCTACTCGTGCAGAGGACCTGGGTTCGATTCCCAGCACCCACATGGTGGCTAAGAACCCTACATAACTCAAGTTCCAGAGGATCTGACACCCCGTTCTGGCTTCCATAGGCATTGCACTTACAGGTGCACTTACATATGTACAGGCAAAACATTCATACACTAGAAAAAATAAATCAAGAAAAAAAGGAAAGCCAGGTGTGGTTGTGCATGCCTTTAATCCCAGCACTCTGGAGGCAGAAGCAGGCAGATCTCTGTGTGTTCAAGGCCAGCCTGATCTACATATAAGTTCTAGACCAGCCAGGGATAATAGTGAGACCCTATCTCAAAACAAACAAAGTTATTCTCAACTGCATAGCAAGTTCGAGGCTAACCTGAGCTATGTGAGATTCTGACTCAGAAAACAAAACAAAACACAAATTAATGTAATTGATATTTAGACTCACTAATAAAAACATCAAACTAGTTTCTACCCTCTCCAAGGTGGTTGAAATTTATTCCCCAGTGAACCTTTAAAGAGGAAAGTTTTATCCTGTGCGAGTTCATGAAATGTTTCCAGAAGGCAGATCACAGAGAACTCTTTAGGATCACAGGTTGGTGTTCTTCCCCAGTCTTCCTGAGGCCTCCAGTCATCTAAGACATCATCTGAGACATCTCACCTGGAACTTCCAAGAGCATGTGGACAGCCTTCAGCCCTCTTTCTGGAGAAAAGAAAGAATAAGACTTCACTGGGCATGGTGGCACATGCCTTTAATCCAAACACTCAGGAATCAGAAACAGGTGAATCTCTGTGAGATCAAAGCCAGCCTGGTCTGTATAGTAAGTCTGAGGACATCTGGACTAAGGGAGACCCTGTCTCAAAGAGACCCCCCAAAAGGACAAGACTCCCTTTCCTCTCTCTGCTCACCTTTCTGCTCTACCTAGATATACACTCTCAATTTCTATGTGTCCAGACCCACAGCAGAGACACTTGACTGAGATGCCATGGATCTATAGAGGCAACAAGAATGCATTTTGGGAAACCATCCATGGAGCCAAAACTTGGATGCCATTTACCCAGGCTCTCCTATATACCACTTCCTAAAGGAATATCACTGCCCTTTGACACCAACCCCTCTCCTCCCAGGCCCTGTTTTCAAAATTGCTTTAGTTTCTTCACTACATAATCTTGGACCTTCTTTAAATCACCAAGAAATCCCTGGATTATGCAGTGTTACTATCTGACAGAGATGTATAAAGAGCTACTTGTCTCTGAGCAATGGATGGGTCTGAATACTTTGTTGAGAGTCACATACACATCTAGGTATTATCTACTTTTCTAGGAATTCCTGCTTTATACAAGACAGTTCTCTCTCCATTATAACATAATCCAGATTCATCTGATCCAACAGACTATGGAGCCTGGATAATTGTCTGTAACTCATGAGGTCTTAGGAAATGTGGATTGGTATGGCCCCAAATAAATAAACAAAATAAGGAAAAAAATGTCTGAATCCAAAATTATTTTTATTTTATGAAGCTGTTTCTTGGATATTGGGGCTAGTGTTTAAAAAATAAATAACAAGGCAAAGCAGGAAGAGAGGAAAACCACAGAAGCAGAAGCGGCACGTCTTTGGCCCTACACAGACCCTCTGATAATCTCAATTTGAAACAGTTCAGTGCTTGGAGCTAAGCTCCCGCTCCATAAAAGACCCACTGTATTAGGCAGGGAGAGTTAAAAGGATCTTGGACAGCAAATGTTTATTGAATTGAATTGCACATGGAAAGTACACCTTGCATTTCTGTGGCTTCTTTGAACTCAGGTTTATTACAAGGAGGAAATGTTCAAGCCAGCATTACTTGTCCTATTTGCTTTGGCCTTTAGCTCCACAGTTCCGGTTTTTAACACATTTGTTAAGCAAGTGGGACTGATAAACTTGTTAAAGCATTCAGCTACTAACAAGGGAAAACAAACACACAAAGTGATAGCGAATCCATACTGCCAATTCCTTTCCTCTTGGAAACAAAGACTGGAGGGGTTGACTGCATGTGAACGGAGGGGAACTGGCTAGACACGGGCATTTCACTACAGAGTGAGAAAAAAAATGGCAGCATAGTACTTGGGAACCATGAAGAAATAATAAAATAATTGATGCACACTAAAAGTCACGTTATCAACATCAAACCCTGAAAAACAGTATTGTTTGGTTAAAAAACAGTGACTTAATGCTGTGATAAAATCTCCTTGTCAGGTATATTTTTTAATTTTTGTATATGAATGTTTTGCCTGTATATATGTAAGTGCACCTGTGTGTGCAGTGCCTGTAGAGGCCAGAAGACCATGCCAGATCACCTGGAACTGGAGTTACAGATGGTTGTTAACTGCCATGTAGGTGCTGGGGACTGAATTTGGGTCCTCTGGAAGAGCAGCCAGTGCTCTCAATCACTGAGCCATCTCTCCAGCCCCCTTAGTTACATTTTTTAGAA